AAAAACTAATACTCATCAAAAATAAACCTGTTCCCACAATTTGATAACCTCGTAACCACACGAATTTTTATAAACAAACTATATTATGTATTACTTGGGAGTATATTTTTTAACATATCTTCGGGCCTTCGCGTGAATCGTCAACTTTGTTTTCAAGTTTGTAATCCCGGGAATAGAATAAAAAAAATAATACGAAAAATATCTCTTAACACTGAATACATTGGTACATCGAAAAGTATAAGTAATAACTGGTTATCAAAAGATATTTTTCTATGTTGAAATGTAACACTTAATCATATTCATATGCTTATAGCCATACAATGTATGAATAAATATGTAAGAATGGTATTAAACCTTTCAGATATTGTTGGCTTTGCTTTGGACAATAAACGGACTATCTGACACTTTTTTACTTTCCAGATATGGGTTTTATCTGATTATTCCTATCCCCACAGCTGTAAATAGAAAGTTTCCAACCACTAGGACAAAAAAAATTGTTTTTTTCACGACTTGTTGCGCACTAAACTTGCCACTTACCAATGATGTGAACATTAGGTGGCAGTCGGGGCATGAGGAGCTTGCGCGTAACTGAGGCAGGGCCGCAGCCGATGTCGATGCACTTTCCGGTCATTTTTGCAAGTTCGTCACTAAACTCTTCGATAAGATCGGCATCTTCATGAGCCGCCAGTTCGTGGGCCTCCATGTATCCTTTGACGTCATTCATTGTTTGATTTTTATCAAACCGATCAAGATCCGAAGCTGTAGGGCAAAACGTATTCGAACGTATACTGAGTCAAGCTTGCACTCAACAAGCTACTGTCAAAGCGAGGCTTACCTCTTGACTGTTCATATCTTATTTGCACGGGCTTCTTTTTATATGTGATTGATGTAGCGGTGACTCAGGAGGAATTGTTCTTGCACTTCGAATTTATTTATTTATTTATTCACCACATAATATACATAATAAATAAGAGTATTATATGTTTACAATTTTACAGTTTCGCGCTCGTTTTTCTATTAAATAAGAAGTATTGAATTCTCATCTCAAGAGAATCAATACTATAACTATAGACTAAATGCATTTTAGCAAGGAGGCACTGAATGTGACAGTACACTGGAGTGGTGCACTAAGAGCTCGGAATCTTAGAACTTGAAATAAAAAAAGAAAAAAAAAAACAAACAAAGAGTAACTTAGATAAGAGAACAGAAATAGTTTGCAATGTTGTAATATAATTTCAAGAGAAAAATTGAATAACATGTGGGGCAGCAGTTCAAGTACTAATTTTTTCCAGGTTTACGTAATTTCTACATACACTGCATGCAATTTCTTGGAGGGGATATAAAGCGATCGAAGAGCCATCATGGGGCAAGACATATGTGCATACCTTAGGAACTTTCAAAAACTCTTGATACAATGTTGACTGCACCTTATTGAGTTTTTCAACCATTTCCAGTCATACCAGACGTATAAATGTAAAGATGGCCACAATAAGCGCATTATATGCTATATCAGTATATATTATATACTTTGCAGGTTTTTTGTTAAAAATAAATTAAATTTGGCATTCAATTATGCAAGTGATAATGAATTTAATGAAGCAAGTCGAGATATCATTAACTTCCTGTCGTATCGTTATTACTTCACTTTACGAGTAAGATTAGTTACGAGTAATTTACGAGTAAAACACCGTAGTGTGTTGACATGTAATGTGAAACATTTTAAGTTAGAAATTTTACACATATTCCTGATACATCTCGAAACAAAAATCTTCTCATTGAAAACATACTTTTCCAGAATCCGTATAGTTTATTTGGTCAAATAATAAGGTGTAAAAATTAAAAAAAATAATTATGCTGAAAATTACCGTGCGTTCTTTATGCCATAAAATAATCGGTAGCCATAAGAAGCCGTTGATTTACAGTTTCTCCCGTGTAATTCACGAAAACGGCTATTTTTTAAAGCTGTTAAGATTTTAAACCCCCAAAAAATTTATGTTAAAAAAAAATTTTTTTTTTTCATATCTCACAACTTTATTACCAGAGCAACAAAGTCCTGGAGCTTGAACCCCACATTTTTATTGCCACAAAAACACAAATACATTTTCTACTTATTTAAAAATCTGAAGAGTAAGATTAGTTTGGCTTCATTATCATAATTAACATTGTATGTTACTGACGACTACTATACTTAAAATTTATTAAATTATTTGGGCTTTTACACCTACTTTTTTAATAAATTTGTAAACTTATAATTAACATTTGCCATCTACAATGCATTGAATCTGCTAAAGTCATGAAATTATGCACTGTTTAGTCGTAAGTTATTACTCATGTAATAATTTTGCACACATCGAATAAATCATTTATTTTCATAACTTTTCCTTGTTTTTTTTTTGTTAAGTCGCGGAATTTACGTCTTCCTTACATAAGTATTTTAATCTTTTCATCGAGTTTCCGTTTGTATAAATTTTTGACATACATACATATAATATCTTACTGATAGATAAAGCAGAAGCGCTAAAACTGTTGTAATCGCTAACCGCGAAAACTACTGAACCGATTTTGTTGAAATTTTGCACACTGATTCATGATACTTTCTAGATGGTTTTAGTATAGTTTTCATCTCAAGAAATTTAATAACAATAGCAATAAATGAGCTCAAAGTTTTGCAAAAATACGTCAGCGTTTTACTTTAGCTCAGTAAAATCCGCTAGGTGGCGTCAACATAAAATTGAAGCTACCTGCAACATAATTAAATAAGTGTGGTTATAATAGGCTGGAGCGTCTCCGTACTGTTGTAGTCGAGCTTCGGCATTTCAACGAGCTGCATAGAGAATGCTGAAGATAGTCTTGCAGCTGGGTATCCCGGTTACGGATGACACTATTCTCTAAGGCTGAAGGTACCTACGTGTCCATTCACCCTGAATGTCGACAAGTGCGATCAAATAAAAAAAATTATTCCAACCGACGCCGTCTCTGCCTCAATACCCGGAGACATATCTAGCCAGAGCACAATCTGCACCAACTCTTGATAGCAGTCCCACCATCCCACCTGGTGCAGTTAGAGAATTTGTGGCTACAAATGTAAGCAAGGGACAACAGCTCTGAGGGGCACGGGCAGCCACAACGGCTACCTTCTTGGTCGTCGCGTCCCCAACGCGCTTACCCACATGTTCCCGTCTAACGATGAGCGGTTGGTTATCCGGGGAACGACCCGAGACGAGATATTCTTTGGTCAGCAGCGTACCTTCTTCCATCACAGTCTCCGTACATCGAGACTCCCAGGGTAGGAATCAAGCAACCGTAGCCAGCTCTTCATCATCAGGAATAAGAATAGCC